ACCCACACACACACATATATATATATATATATATACATACGCATATATACATATATATATCTCATGTGGTTAATGTTCCAATGTTGACATGTTGTGTGTCGGTGCCGTGGGCGCGAAACATTGTTGTTGTTATTGTTAATATATATATATTGCCTTGTTCCCTCGTTGGTGTGGTTCGGTCCTCACATGTGTAATTGTATTTGGCGCCACATGCTTCTCTCATGTGGCGGCGAATGCATAAACGTACATGGGGTGTGGGGGGTCGTGACATATTGTGCTTCTTATTGTTGTTGTTGTTTCTGCGGCGTGTGTGTGTGTACTGCCTTTATTTCTTACTTTCGCATCTGATTTATCTATCTATTTCTCTGTTTGTCGCAATTTCGGCTGGCGCTTCGCTGCAACCGTGTAGCATGTAGCACTACATAGTGGGAGGGAAGACACTTGCGGCAGTCATCGTCTTCCTTCTCTCTTTAACACCTCAAAAAGGTATACGCATCTTTGCGCAACACAACACGTGTGTACGTCGCAAGGCGGTTGCTGCTGCTGCGTTCGCGCGACACGCCACAGCAACCCCTTCGCCAGGAAATATATATTCCTTTTTGCATCGCCGTGTTTAAGCCCTCGCCCCGGGCGGCGCCGACAAGGGTACACGTTTGTAGAAGACATAGCCAGGCAAAAAGAGGCAGTGACAAGCCAATCCACAAGGAGAAGTTATATATATATATAAAAGAAAGTGGACACCGACCGTAAACGAAGATGCTGCGGGGAATGGAATTACAGCAGTCCACTGCAGCGGCGGCACTGCAGTCACCGTCGCCACCGCCCCCACCTCCAGCCTTTGCGCGCAGCGGGTATCATTCAAATGGCATGAGCGGCAGCGCAAAGCGGCGCTACCACCGCCGGCATCACTGCTTCTCCGATAAGAACATTGTTGATCTTTGTCGCCTTGACAACAGCAGCAACAGCCACGCCAGAAGTAGTAGTAGTAGTAATAGCAATAATAATAGGAAAAACAGCAGTGAGAGTGCAGTGGGAAGAGGTGTTTTTGTAACACACAGCTGTCAAACACCAGCGAGGCAGCAACAGCACGCTTCTGCTCACGGCAGCTCACCTGCGTTGTTGACTAGTTGCTGTCATGTACCGCGTTGTTCCCCTGCGAAAAGAATGTCGTCTTTTTCGTCGTGGGGATGTGAGCCACCGACAAAAATACTGGACTTTATTTTCATCGGGGGCGTGCGTGACGCGACCAACGCAGAATTTTTGCGTCGAGAGAATGTAGTGACAATTCTCAACGTCTCGCGAGAGGAATACTGGTCTGTGGATCGCGGCATTGTCATCCACCCGTTTGTTGTGGATGACACAAGCGATGCAAACATTCAGCAGTTTTTCCGATCCACCTACATGCTCCTCGAGCAGACGCGTAAAGCGTACTATGATGCCAGCAAGGGTGGTACAGGTGTTGGCCCCCGCGTGCTGGTACACTGCCAACGCGGAAAGAGCCGATCCGCCACCATCGTGCTTGCCTACCTCATCCGCCGCAACGGTTGGACAGTAGCCGAGGCGTTGCAGTACGTCACCCGTCGTCGGCCGTCTGTGGAACCAAATTTAGGTTTTATTGACGCCTTGCGGGCGTATCAGGAGTCTATGGATGTGGAGGAGCGCACGCGACGCTGCAGTTCACTTGGCCTTGCGGTGCGGAACCTATCGCGTGATACGGCGTCGTCGGTTGTACATAAATTCTTTGAGGACCACGTTGGCTGTGTGCAGGAGGTGGTGATGCATTCCTTCCGCCGCAACCAGCACCGTCGCACCACCAACGGCGAGGGTGATAGCGACGACGCCGACATCAATACTTTGTGCCTCGTCTTTTTTGCCGCGTCAGAGTGTGTGCGATTGGCAAAGGTCTTGTACATGCAACGGCCGGAGATTTTCAACGCTCTCAGCGTCGCTGCTGGAAAGGAGCTGCGGCTCACGATTCCCAGCAAACTAATCCGTCCGCCGAGGGCGGCACCCGCCTCTGGCGATGGTGGCAATGACACCTTGGGCGAGAACTCGACTCCGCCGGAGGAGACACCGAACGGAGGCACGGAAGACGGCGCAGGCGAATGAGGCAAAGATAAGGCCCAACAATGAAGAAAGCCAATAATGAGCACGGAAAAAAAAGGCGAAAACATTCCGAGGGCACCAAAAGGGAAACCGAGGCACGTGAAATATATATATATATATATATATATATAAACAAGGAAGAACTAGGGAAAATGTGAGATCAATCGATGGATATTGTGAGTTTGGCTTGTGTACTTACATTAGTCATATGTGTATGTGTGGAAGTGGAGTCCTACGCACATGAGTGAGTGTCCTGTGCCACAAAGAAACGGAATACGTGCATACACACACGCAATGGGAGAGAGAGTGCGTGTATATGTGCAAAAGACAAAAAAAAGGCAACGGGGCGTGGTAGAGCGCATTACTAAATTTTGAAATGGAAAACAATCAGTGATAAAGTGATCCTTATAAATATATGTGCATTTGCGTTTCAGTATTGTGCATGCATCCACGGGAAAAGACACAGAACATTGAAGGGGTATAACAATAATAATGGTAAGACACACTTTTCCCTGCTCTGTAGCTCACATATACACACAGCGTAATCACAAAAATTACAAAAAAAATACATCATTGAAAGTTAGTTCCATTGAAGCATTTGTCACTGTATTCTTTGTTTTTTGTTTTTTTTTGGTTTATATTATTTTCTCTCTTTTCATCTCCCCCCTTTTTTGAGGAGGGGGGTTACTTGACTTACTGATGTTTTTCCTCTTTATTCTGGGCTACTCGTGCGGGTGTGGTGCTGGTGGTGCGTGTGTGAGGGCTGTTACAGTTTTGGCGTGATTGCAGCCATCTTTTGATGCCGTCTTTTCATCTTTTTCTTTTCTTTTTGTGATTGCATCCCAATGTTTTTATCATCACCTTATTGTTTGAACCTTCATTTTGGTTTGTACTCTTTGCCTTCACGCCACTATTTTTCTTTTTGTTAAGTGTGTTTTTTCCCTTCTTTCTGTGTGTGTATGTGGGCATGCGTGCGTGCGTGTTTATCTCTTTGGAGATGTCTCTCTCTCTCTTTTGCACCCACCTACACACACACGCAAGCACACTATGTGTGTGGGTGTATCTCGTGTCAAGCAGCCGTAGATACGTTCATGTTTTTTTCTCTCTCTATTTGCTGTTGCCCTTATTACCAATGATGATTCTCATCGTTTTTCTTCTTGTCTCTCTTCATTCCTTTCCATTTCTTTACTTTGCCACTTTGTTACTTTCGTGTGCGTGTGCGTGTGTATGTGTGTGTGTATGTGTGTTACGCTGTGGCTGTCGCCTTCAGCTAAAGGTGAGGAGAACCTGGGATGGAATAGACCTCAGCACATGAAGGGTATACTGTATGCTTGCTTACGTGCTTGCCCGAGTCTATGTGTGTGGAAGGGATGTATGAATATATATATATATATATATATATATTTCTTGGTTTTGCTCTCTTTGTATGTCTGTCTATTCATTTCTATATTGAGGCTTCTATGATATTTTTACGTGAGGCCGGGCCCATAATATATATCTAGATATGCTCTTGTGTGCTATGCATCTATTTTTTTCCCTCCACCCCTTCTATGTATACTCATTGCCTAGATATATATATATATACATGGTATTGTGTTTACCATCTAACCTGGAGGAGACAAATGTGCGATAGCGGCAGGAGTAACATGCGACGGGGAAGCAGACGAAGAAGGGAGGGTGTTGAATACTTCCGTGCATTGTAAGCATGTGTGTGTATATGGAGCAATTAAACCGAACAAAACAAAAAAGGAAGGTGTGAAAAGCTGGAAGGGGAGCGGGGTGGTTAGTGAGTGAGGCTAACAGCAAGAAGAAGAAGAAAACGGATGATTGAAGTAAATATAAAAACTGGGAAGGGCAAAGCTGAAGTTGTTTTTGTTTCTGTTTTTCTTTTTTCTTTATTTATTTTGTTCTCTGGACGAAAGACGATAAAAAAAAAACTATTCCTCAGTTTGACGTCGAGGATAAGTGTGTTGCTTGTCTTTGATTTCCTGTTACTATTTGTTTGTTTGTTCTTGCTGCACACAACAGTGCCGGGGTAGTGGGAAGGCGAGCGGATGCGATTGGGGGGTGGGGGGAGAAGACAACACGTGCATGGGGCAGCTGCACACAATGACGCATGTGTGTGTGTGTTTGTATGTAGCTTGGTGGGCCACGGCTAATGTGCCTTCTTGCACAGACTGAAGGAGAGGAGGGCTGCCACTTGATGCGGAGGCATAAATAATGAAACCCGCATACACGCAGAGGGTTGAGTAAGTGTGCGTGTGTGTAATTGAAGTGCTTGGATGTGCATGGTCCACGGCAGAAAAAAATATTTAAAAAACAAACAAACATGGGATAGTTGAGGAAAGGAAGTTGTTGGAGCGTCACCTCTTGAGTTTCCCCTTCGTCCTCTTTTTCTCCTTCTCACACGACAATGGGAACTCGCCTACGCTCTCTCTCTCTCTCTCTCTCTCTCTCTATATTTCTCACTTTCTCTTTCCCCCATTTTTTTTTTTTTCCTCTTCCCTCACCCCGCCGTATTGGAAAAGAAATCTTTCTGTGGGAGTTTGAGGCGCGCTGCAACTACAGCCGTTTGTTGCATACATAAATACTCATAAATATAGCCCTCACAAGACCGCCGCTGGCGGGAGGTGGCGGTGTCGGTGGTGGTGATGATGACGCCAGACGCGGGCAACGCTATGCATGCCACGTCGTCCTCGGTCAGCAGCTACCCAACGTACACTCCGCCGCCTCCGCTTCCCTCACGGGATTCCGTGAGAAACACCCCCTTCACGGCCATGCGACGAACGTTTCACGATGAATGTGACGAGGTGCTTAGATTAATTCGTGCAGATGCCGTGACGAGGTCTGCGTCGGAAAAATCGGGTGGCACCATGTGTGTGTCACGCAGCGCAACGCATGAAAAGTACAGAGCGATCCTTGATGAAGTGGAGCACCTCAACAGATTACTGGAGGTGACCGTTGAGGAACGGAATGACTTGGAGGGGGAGCTGCAGGGAAAGTTACGGCAGATGGAAGCGGCGCTTCGTGAGCGGGACAGGGAGCTACAGGAGAAGAACGAGGAACTGCTGCATCTGCGCAGCCTCATGGAAGATCTGAGGACGGAACTGGAGGCATTCCACCGCACGCAGCACATGGAGACGCCCACCATCCACGCAGTGGCGCGCAACAGCAGCTATAGCAATGGCAATGACAGCGACGCTGTCGCTAGGCGTGATGTGGGCGGAGTCCCAAAGACGGGTGCAGATGCCGCATCAAGAGAGCGGATAGCAACTGTGGTGGATTGTCTTGCACAGAGCTCATTGGAATGGGTCAAGTTCCTGTTGAGGTGGTGCTTTTCCATGGATGAAGGAGTTGATGGGAAGTTGGCGCATTTGCTAAACCTGCTGAATGAATTGGAAAAGCGTGGCACTAAGCCAGACCCGGATGCCCTTACAGTGCAGTCACTGTGCACCCAAGTGTCCAAGAGTCTGATGGAGGTCACTGCGAGAGTTTCTCATGGGCGGCGCCAGTTGGACTCCAACACGTCGGATCTGCAAACTGCGACGGGGCATTGTGTTTCAGTTGAGCAGGAAGAGCTCCAGCGACGGTTTACTGGGTTGGAGGCAGAGCGAGATGCCCTTTGGCAGGAGACAAATTTCATCGCGGAAGAAAACGTTCAGCTGCTGCGTGAATTGAAATCACGAGAAGTTCCTTCATCCGGAGCATCGTCGCCCTCAGCGAACACGGGTAGCTTGGAGGTTCCAAACTCCACGTTGATGGCGGAGCGGAAGCGACAGGCCGACTTCATCCATGAGCTTCGACTGCAAGTGAAGAAACTGGAGGGGGAAAAGAACGCATTACATGCTAAATTTGTCCAACAGGCAGAGTTACTGAAGCGGTATGAGCGTGTTCTGCATTTTCTCTCGCGGCATGAGCGAGGAGACAAAACTAACAGCAGTGGGGACGATGGCAGTGGCAGTAATAGTTAGCACGCAACTCTGGAAAAGCGAGCTGCATAATTCTTGAGTCCCTCGTGCTCTGCCTCCTCCTCCTCTTTCGCCCCGGTATCGTATTGTTACATATTTGTCTGTGGCATTAGCGAGTGTAGATGCATTTTTTGCGCAAATAATAATAAAAGTAATAATTTCCTTTATTTTAGCATTATGGTTTATGTTTCCCGGCCTCTCTTTCTCTCTTGCTGTGGGTGTTGCTTTTTTTTTTTTGTGTGTGTGTGGCTACTATATCCTTTGGATTGTGTGGCCTGCGCACTTGCTGACAATGAACAGGTGAGAGAGTCCCGTGGTGTACATCCACTTGGAGTATTGTGCACACACCGTTACCGCACACGATAATAAGGAAGAATCATGTTTAGTCAGTCTGCGCTCTGCCTGTCGAAGCGGTTTCGCTACAACACCAAGTACCCAGCTTTGGTGTCATACAATAAACTACCGTGGGAGATACTGAACCATGAAACTCCAGAGTTTCATATGCATGTGGCACCACACTATGAGCAGATTCTGACTCTCGCTGCAGCCACACTTGTACCCCACCTTGTTAGTAAAAAACACCTGGAGGTTCTGCCAGAGCATCGGCTGCGGCTGCTTCCTGGGATGCTGTACATGCTGGACGGCGATGACACTCCCGAGGGGTTTACCGCTAACCACGTTGTGGACCCAACGGCACTGCAGTATTACGGTCGCCTGGAAAGTTTGTTTGCGTCTGTGAAGGCGGTGCGGATATTGATCTCAGATGATCTTCGGCTTATCTGCAACAGTGTCACACTCCAGGGACCTTTGCGGCTTCCGGTTGCGTCATATGCGTCGTTGGCCTCACTAGAGGCTGTCACGCGTAAGCCAGGAAATTACTTCACACTATTTCACTTTGTTAGACCAAACCGGCCACCGAGTGAATTGCAGCTGGAAAAGTATTACCTCCACGTTCCCTGTGCCTTGTCCTTGGCGGAGTTTGCATCAACAAGCAACACAAAATGGGAGCCAAAATTGCAGGCGCCGAAACGCAGCAAGCGGGTGACGCCGCTCCCTGCTTATAGGCCACCCCAAAGTTATTTGATGGGTCTAGCAGAACGCCTTGCAGTGGTGCCTGGTAGTAGTTTTGGGCGTCGTTCATTGATGTGGGGGCACTGGTTTTAAGTATGAGGAGTGAGAGCAGAGACGTCCGTGCACCCTTTTTTCCTGGTTTAAATAATCAGCAAATAAGTTGTGAGAAAGCATTTAATGCTGAAATACCGGGGTGCGTGCCCAATCTTTTTGCACACACGTACTGCCGTTATTTCTTTTTTTTTCCCCTTCTTCGTTGCTTTGGGGGTTGTTGTTGTGTCTGTGGGCACGTTGCTGGCGTCGATGAGGTGTCAATCTTTACATATAGACACACATTTACATTGTACAGAAGGCAACGAATAGTTGGGGGGTGACTTTACCCGTGTGCATTGCTTTTAGAGTGACAGCGGGAAAAATCAAGTGGGAGTGATCTTCTTTACATACACAAGGGGAACGCGTATCCATTTGTTTATTTCCGTATTGGGGCGATGCAGCGCTACCACAGGAATAAATCCCTTGGTGAACCCCATACGAAGCAACTTAAGATTGCGACGACAGGATCAAATTCAATTTCTGTAGGTCTTAGTCCATCACAACGTCCCAGTGCGATGGGCGGGGTCTTCCATCTGCAGCGGTGTACGCGGTGTGACGAAAATTTTCGCGTTGAAGCAAGTACGGTGAAGCACAAGTATACATGTTGGCGGTGTGGGTGCCCTGTGTGTCGGCAGTGTCGTGTACCACGGCCACAAGCATCCGAAATGTGTACATGCATCTTATGTGTGCGCCCTGTAAGTTTTATTTGGCTCTTCCAGAAGACTTATCACGGCATCCAGCTGCTACTGAGTGTCGTGGAGTTCTGCGATCCGCAGGCGGCGCGCATCATGCGTTTTTTTTTCCCCGCTGCCGCCTTTGAATGCACGACACCGTATGGGGCCCCTGTGAAACCTCCCGTGAGACAGCAGGAAGCACTAAATGGAAGACAGTTGATCGCCAAGGAGCCCGGCGCAAAGGTGGCCACAACGGGCTCGGCGGGGACGCAGCGCCGCGCGTTAGTGACGCATTCCCCTTCTCGTTTACTACCACAGCGGCGGCAGCAGCAGCCAGGGCATAAGCTGTCACGAGCAAAGACAGCCTTTAGACGCAATTCGCTCTCACCACAGGAACAACAACAACAAAAGCTGCACAGGAATCGTGCACAGACGCCTAATGACATGCATTTATTATCCCCACCCAGACCGTTTCCTTTGCTGGAGCACAAGTTGAACAATGGCAACGCAAGCGACGTTCCCGCTGAAAGGTTGCAAGCACAGGTGACAACAAAGGCGACAGCGCACTGCGACTCACAGGGTCTCATAACTGCGCCGCACAAACAGGCCGACGAAGACGATAATGCGAACAAATTTTCACGTATTTATGCCATTAAACAAAATGGAGGCGTCCGAGACAACCTTCCGCGTGTCAGCGACACACAGGTGTCATCGATACCCAGCGTGTCGGGGTCGCGGTCAGACAGCCCACCACCGCGGTTCCCATCGTTTTCCAAATTTCTAGATGAGCAGGAGGCGGCACTGTTACTGCACGATGAGCGCCACCCACAGCCACAGCAAGAGCAATATAACGCAGACCGGCATGTCGGAGTGGGGGCAAATAACTTGTCCAATCTTGTCAAGCCGAAGGCCAGGGAGCTGGAGGTTGTAGAGTTGGGTGCCCGTCCAGCAGCGCGTCTCTCCACCTGGACTGCCTCACCAAACCCCGTTACACCACGTCCCACAAAGAACGGTGGGGTCACAGGTTCAGGCGAGTCTAACAGTAGGAGGAGGCGCATTTTTAATCCGCCACCGCGGCTACGCGTCACATCTACGAATGCACCACTTTCCATTTCGCAAAGGGTGTCAGTCGGAGACAATAGAAGACGCACTACACCCACAACGATGACAACAACGACAAAGGCGACCACACCGACAGCAGCGAGGAGTCATCTTGTGACTGCTGCCAACCACATCAATTATTCTTCGCATCCTACACCACCTCATCCACGGTCGAAAGCTACCCCGGTCGGCGGAAGCAGTAATAATGTTCGTCCTATAAGCAATTTTATTCAACTGCATACCTCGCGAGGTTTAATGACACGCTCAACTATTCCCACACGGGTTACTACTCCACGTCCATTCGCATCTGGGTCATTGGCCTCCGGAGTAGGCGTATTGGCCACTGGTAAGAATGAAAGTGCGGCATCCCTCGCTCGGCGTGGCACACAAAGTTGTCAGGGGAAGCTCACGACTCGCAACCCCACCGCGAATAATCGTCTGTTAGAGCGGAATGATTCGCGTGTCACAAGTCCGCGATTTGCACGCAAATCAACATCACGTACCTTATTGACAGAGAGGGGTGTCCCTCCCACCTTTCGTACACCCCTGGCTTCCCGAGAAGCAACGCGATTGATGCCAACTTCTTCACTGACAGCGCGTTTTCCCACATCAAAGAGGTCACATGTGTCAGGAAATACAACTCCGTCATGTGCACGGGCACCATTGGTGAGGACAGGCACCGTCTCACACGTGCGGAATGTGACTCCACGGTGTGCTACGGCTCATACACCGTTACAGCGAATTGCGTCGACCCGCCTCTTACCGTCAGGGGACTGTGCACGTCGTTACTTACCGACACAAACAGCTGTTCACCGTGCCGAGCCGCAAGGGTCAGCGCCTTTTCTGATGGTTCACCTCACACGGCAGCCCAAGTCCACAGTAACGAATGTAACGGAAACGACACCTGAGCCTGCACGTGTTTCACACCCAATCATTAGGGAAGAGTTGAGCCAAGCATGCTACACCGTCTCCGAAGAATCAGTAAAGGAGTAACACATCACATGTGTACATAGCGAGGAAAAAGCAACGCAACAACAAAAAATAATAATAATCTCGCACAAGGTTGACTGTCAGTAGACTCTGTTGGCGTCTTCCCCCTGTTTTTTTTTTTGTGCGGTTATTTACTTGTTTATTTTTCTTATTGTTTTTTGCGTTGGCGGTTTTTGCTTGTTTGTTTGTTTGTTTTTTTCCTTTTAATTTTTTCCCTTCTGTCAGATATTATTATTATTATCCCTCGTATTGTTTTGCTTGTCCGTCTTGCTGTGTTTACGTTGCTCCCTTTCTCCCTCTATTTATCTATCTATCCGCATGTGCGTGTTTCTTTCATGAAATACAAAATGTGTCGGTTTCACTCGTTGCGTCATGAATATTAGAAAGTGGCGTGATTGTCTGCGCCCGGGGGAGGAACGTTTGCCCATGCATGCGGCTGTAGTCACAAGTGTGGGACTTCTCGTGGATGCCGTTATTGTGGAGCGGTGCATTGATGAAAATGAGTTGTTGTGCGACACGGCCAGTTCCCGCTCGCAGGGTGCGGTTGGCCGGAGTCCGCCAACGTCCGCCTCACAAGTGACCTCCAGCTTTCAGTCACCACGACGTTTCTCTGCCATCTCTGTCATGAGTGGTCTTCTGCCTCCAGCGTCTGAGAGCAGCGGCAATTCGTATGCGTTGCTTGAGTCTGTACTCAACGACAATGTGTACTACGAATGCCACGCCACGAAGAGGCCTCTGCAGCAGCAATACTTTCACCTGTTTGACGTGTTACCGTTTGGCATCGAGAGTCCTTCCTCGGTCTTTGGTGTAACTGGACGACACACGAATCGGGGTCTGGTTGTTGGCGTCAATTCTAGTGGACTGTTTGTAGTGCGTCCATACGCAACCGGTGCACCGCTACAACTTGTCCCAGAAGGTGCCGATCGCAAGAGCGTTCGTAAGGAGGTTGTCGATGCGGTTACCAGACTGAGCTCCTCCGTATCCGTCACGGAAGGTACAAAGGAGTTTATGGAGACTGTGAAGCGTTGGTCGGAAAAATGTAAAAAGGCAACCGTCCGCGATGGCAAGAAGGATTCATTCCGTCAGGGTCGTGTGGACTCAGACGAAAATGCTAGTGAGAGCGGAAGTGAGGGCAATGATGATGTACATAAAGGCATGGAATTGTGGTCTCTGAAGGACTTGCAACTGCCACCACAATTAGCTTTGCATGATCCCATTCCCCCACTTCGCGTTGGTTCACGAGTATTAGCACGACGTTTTTGCTTGGACGGGTCGCTGTGCGTTGCCCGCGTTCTTGCCGTGCATTACGATGTAACATACACCTTGGAGTATGAAGGTGATGGGGGTATTGATGAACGTGTGCTTCATAATGATATTCATCTCCTAGATGACTCGGAGGCAGAGCACTGCAGCGTTCGGGATAAGGTGACCGTCGCACTGCATAAGCAGCTGCCAGCTGTCATTATTGAGTGTCTTGGTGGAGAGGAGTATAGTGTTATTTTGGAACACGCCCCGAATCAATCCCTCACCATCACACGGCGGCATATTGTGTTTATTGCCCCTTTGTTAAAGGAGGCTCTCTACGCAGACCCTCTTATCCTACAGTGGTTCCGGGAACTTGACCCCACATCTTCGGGTCTTGTGCCGTGGAAAGAAGTTCGATATCTGATTTTTAGCTGGGATTCGTATGGGCAGACCTTGTCCTTTCAGAAGCTTGGCGAGGTGCAGCGAGATTTATGTATTCAAGTTGGCCGTATGGAGCCACAACTGCTGCGCAAAGTACCTATTCAAGAGGAGGATATGCTGTTAAACTATGCTGAGTTTGAGTATGTCATACTTCGTGTAAGAAATCTGTTATGAAGAAGTAAGAGGGTACCTCAATTAATAACAATAATAATTATTGTATATATGCCACTTTTGCGTTAGACATAAATATTGGTGGGCGGGTTGCTACGTTCTTGTTGGAATTGATTGATGGCATATATGTATCAGTGTATTTGGTTTGCAGTATCGCCTCTTCACAGTTGACTCTGCCGGCGTCTCTGTATGGCGGGTTCATGTATAAATGGTTGTTTTGTTTATTATTATTTATGCATTTATTTTCTCATATACCTCTTTACCACTCTCTGCGTGTGTCAATCTATTTGGAAAATAATATTGCTTTATTATTATTATTTCTCTTCTTCCTGGACTGGGTGAATCTCCGATGGTTTCGGATGCCTTGGAGGGGGATGTTGCCCACCATAGCTAGTCAGATTGCAGAATGCTGCGCAGGTCAGGACATGGATGACATTAACGCACAGTTATGCGTTGTGAGTATTGGCTTTGACGTTGAGGGCATTGTCTCACGTCTCATCCGCTGCGCCCTCGCAGGTTTGTCATCATTGCATGCCTGCATCTCATGTGTTGTGCTACCTGATGGCACAAGGAGTGGGACACTTTCGCGAGTGGCCTCAGCCCTCAGGTCTTCTCTTAACAAGATAGACGGTGAAAGTTTGCAGGTGCATGTGGCCGAGGAGGGGACCTCCACCCGTATCCGCTGCACCTATTATCAAGGCGGCGGTGTGGTGGTCTTGAGCAGCCGCATGCTATGTGCTGATCTGCTCCACAGACGGCTTTCACGTGAACTTGTGGGTATCGCCATCGTGTTGCTGCCCTATGGAGGCCCAAAGCGGTCTGATAGTGTTGTGCCAAGCATCGCCTTTTGTGCGGAAATTCTCCTTCGAGGTGGTTGTGGTGGGGCTATGCAACTCCTGTCACGTCGGCGCCATCCACCTTTTATTATTCTTTCAGATAACCCCTGCTTTGTACGCTATCTGCTGCAGCGACGGCGCATTGGTCAGGAACCGTTTCTAACAAAATTACATGTCGACGACGTACAACTGTTTCCACGCTTTCGACTCAACGTGATGCGCCACTTTGAAGAGCTTGCAAAGGAGCGGCCCTTGAAGGTGGAACGCGTTGCGGTGGGCGCTTCGCCGAGCACCACCGCACTTGACGGGATGCTCCGTCAGGTCTTGAAGGAAGTGATTGGAGAGCTGCACGCTCTGGAGACGCGTCTGGGTCAGATCAGCGACCACGGCCACAGTCATAGCAGCCGGAATGTCCATACAACTAGTGCTGATCGTGACGCGGGTGATCCATATTTGCGCCTGCAGCCTATCTCGCGTCGACCACGGTTGGAAAAGCAGCCACCTCGTTATGTGCGAAAGCCTTGGGTTGTGCCCTCGGATCCCACCGTCATTCGCTTTGGATGCATTTGTGAGGAAGATGCTCTGGATGTGGTGGATGTCAGTCTGGATGACGACTTGGATCATGCCTTACGTGCAAATGGACCCTTGTGGCCATTTAGCAGACTTGTTGAGAGCCTACTGGACGTTCGTGGACTGCGGCGCGATGTGCGACGCATCTCGCCGTTTGCGTGGTTATTTGCACTGGAGGCGTCACTGGTTGCACGCACTGCACGCTACACACGCGATGTAAGCTCAGCAAGGGCATTCACGGTTCAGCCACCCGATGCACCCTGGACGTTGTCGCAACACTTTAGCTCAATCGTCACGCTAGCTATTCACCGCGTCGGTACGGTAGAAACGCGACTTGTGACGAAGAATAACATTGTCCATCAGAAAAATGGTAATGACACTTACACCGATGGGTCTCATCTTGTTGTGGAAAGCGCGGAGACGTCAAGTGACGACGAGGAAGTGGTGTGTGTAGAACCGGAGACACCGCAGCGTTTGCTCCTACCGCGTAGTGACGAGGTCGATCCATGTATGGAGTATGCAAACCGCGTCATACAGGGGTGGTGCCGGGATGCACGGCGCAGAGGAATAGCTAAAGATCTGATGAATCCTGTGTTTTTACTCATTGTCTTTGGAGAGCGTGCGCTTCGTCGCTATGTATGTCGTCTGACGCACTTGCTAGAGGATTTTCAGACGTTTGAGTTGAACGGCTTTGTTGCGGCTTACCAAGCGAAGCACGGTGCTGACATACGCCGATGTGCGGAGGGCCCCGTAACGGAGAAATCAACAGGTGTAAACTTGCGAACCTGGTTTCTTGCCGGCAATGATGACGTCATCGAAGAAGAAGGGAAGGACAGGGATGAGGATGAGGACGGCGCAAGTGAGGATGGAGCTCAAGTAGAGAAAAGAGGGATGAGTGCGCCATCGCAGTCGCCAAGCTTTCTTTTTTCCCAGGGCAGCACGGTGAGTATTAACCCCTCAAATTCCAACAAGGGGAATCACAATGCAGACAACATCTCATTGCATCAATTGCTTCTGAGCCAAGCCCCACTTACACCACCGTCAGAAGAGCGACAACAAGAGCAGGGGAGTTGCCAGTCTGGTCCGTTGAGTCTTGAGTGTGTAGGCAGTGGCATCGCACTGTTGCGTGCAACTTGCGCTGATGGTGACGCGTCGTCGGTTTTTCTGCAAGTGGCAGTGGTGGATGGATCATTGCTGTGTGCATCTGAATTGATTACTATGCTGGAGGGTTCGCATAACGCATTCACGTTACCCACACGACTTCTTGTGGTGGAACAGCACCTTCGCTTCCTTCGCTTGTTGGAGATGGCCCAGGATGCACTACGGCCCGAGCGTCTGCGTGAGTTGCGCGTACAGGTGCTGGTAGAGCAGCTGCATGACTCGTCGCTTACTGATCGGGTTGTAGAGGAGGAGCGTGAGGCCTTTAAGGCCTTGGCACATGCCAAGGCGACTCTGACAGGATCACTCCTAGCAGACCGAAGTACGCTGCGTGTAGTGCAGGATAACCTTGAGTCGGGGTTAATTCACGACCATAACCTGGGCCGAAGACAAGGCGGCATCTCAGGCCTTTGCAGCGAGGAGAACTGTGTCGTGCGAGCATCCATAGCGTGTGGGTCTTCAACGACTAGGGCCGCTGCTGAAGCTCCACTTGTTGTGTTTGATGAGCGGGAGTTTCGATCCTTGTTACCGTACGCGTTATACCGTCGCGGTATTGAACTTGTTCCCTTAACGCTCACGACAGCCGATTATGTGTTGTCACCATCGTACGCGCTGGAACGCAAGAGTGCTCCGGACTTTATTCAATCGTTGCTTTCCGGTCGCATCTACACGCAGCTCGCAGCGCTTTCTAGGCGCTACGAGTTTCCATTGTGTCTTGTTGAATTTGATTGTGGTGCGCCGTTTCGTCTGTCATTTTCATCCTCATTCACATCATCACCTTCGCCTGCGGCTGAAAGTGGTGGGTTGTTCGCACGGGTTGCGCGTCTCTTTGCTGCCTTTCCACGCGTTCAGGTGTTGTGGTCACGCGATGCGACACAGTCGGCGGCTATCATACATGAGATGAAACGCACATGCGCACGGGAGGGGATGGATCCAAGTGCACCGTCACTTACGCGAGCAAACATCGATCCGCACGATACCGCCATGGAGAAGGAGACGGCGCATCTTGCGGCCCGCGTCTTGTCATGTTTCCCGGGTATCACACCTGGCAACACGGCGCAGGTCATGGCAGTTTGCGGCTCACTGGTGGGGCTTGCCACTATTGACGAGTCTGCACTCGTGGGAGCCATGGGTGAAGAGAACGCCAAACGGCTCTACAGCTTCTTGCACGGTGATCTTGTGGCTAAGGCTCTGTAGGCATAGGTACAGAGGCATGTATGCGTGCATACATGCGCTTATTCAAGCAGCCAATATATATATATATATATATATATATATATATAACCCTTCTTTTTCTTTTTCCAACATTCTCGACAAGAACAACAAAATACATATTATTGTTGTTGTTGTTTTTTTCCTTTGCATTTGCCTCTTATTGCTTAGCTGTGGACGAAATGAATTTTATGCACAAAGGATATAAGTCCTTTGCCCTTTGTTAATCTTTGCTGCTGTCCTTCTTTTCCCCTTTCTTTTTCTTGTTGTTGATGCGGGGTTGCGAGGTGGGGGGTGTACATCACTTTTGCGAGAATACAGTGTAGTGGCGGGGGGGGGGGCACGGCAAACGGGTAAGCATACGCACACACCAAACTGTATACCGCAAGTTCTCCCAGACTGTATTTTGTCACGATATTACCTGCACATATTCCTGCGTGAAGCATCTGTGGAAGCTCGCTGCCTGTCGCCGAATCAATGGGCGGCGTGGAGAAGAACGCAGTGCCTCCTACGGATGTTTTACCGAAGGTCGTGCTGGAGAGCCACATCACCAGCACCAACGTGGTGGTGGATGTACTGCAGACAGATTACAACGACTGCTTTCGTTCCTACAGCGTCCGTCAGCGCAACCCATTTGGAAGAAACTCGCTGATTATTTTGCGTATTTTGTCCGTCAACGAAATAATGCTGCTGGTGTTGCTCATTTTTTCAGCAGTGCTTTCACTACCACGTTTTATTGTTCCCCTGCGGGGCGTGAATGATGTATCTTTTGCGCTTGGTGATATCGGCAGCAGCGACAGTCCTGTAGTTCCCTTGTTAATGGGAAATTGGAGCCCAACTTTGTCGTCGCCACGTTTGATTCTTGTGGTGTTATGTTGCGTAGTGTCTGCGTGGCGCATTGCTGTTGGTTTGCGGCGTGCGCATACAGAAGAAGTGATGGCGATTCGAGGACTTGGCATGCAGCTTACTAGTTACAACGTGTTTGGGTGGATTTTGTCACAGCGATTTGTAGAGCTTAAGCTTATTCGTTCCCTTATTATCCATGATGCTTTCTTCCGGTGCCAAGTTATATTCTTTCTTTCTGCGACGGTAGAGAATGAGGCGGCACGTTTAGTCCTCTTTGAGGATACACTACCCCGACTGGCAGTGCTGCGTCTTGTTCTCTGTGGTTTGAGGCATATTCTTTACGAGGAGCCTGAGGAGGGTACGACGCTGGCTGAACTGGAATGGATGACGTCATCTCGGCTTGATGACACTGTTGAATGTGATTTTAAGGGCACAGATGACGATAGTGATGTTACGGAGCACGTAAATGGCGACTCTTTTGCGGTTACAAGCTTACAGCTGCGACTGGGTAACTCCGAGGAGACACATCTGTTGGACAGCATTGATACGGTGTGAAGGAAATTGTCTGAAAAATAAGAATGTGTAACTTGCAGTTTTTACTATTAGTTTTTTTGGCTCCTTCGTTTCATTACGTGCTTTATTTGGTTGTATGCAAGTAATGCTGTTGCTGGGTTTAACTCTGGATCTATCACTCCCCTATTTGTTGGTTGGTCGACTGGCTGATCGCATACATACGCGTGCATATAGATGTACGTATATTTTTCGGTTATTAAGATAGAGGGTTGCATTATTATTTAAGAGTGCCTGTACGTGTTGCATTGCTATCTCAGTTCTTTTTCTCCTTTTCTTTTGGAGCGCATCACCTCGCCGTTTTTTTTTGTTGTTTTTTTTTGTTTTTTGTTCTTTTATTTAATTCTTGTCTTTTGTTTCCGTTTTGAATGCGCTCGCATCCCGTGCGTGCACCGTTTATAGGAGTAGCGCCGATGCGGCTAGTAGGATTATCATCAGTAGCGACATCACTTTTTATGGTCCCCCCAGTGTTGCACGTCGCTTTGCCGCGTCATCACGCACCGCTGCTCCTGCGGCGAGAGCTGCTAACCGTGTAAGGCGGCCGTTCTCTGCTCCACGTGTAGGAGGTAAAGTGGCACAGCCTCAAAAAGTTGCAACACATGCCTCAAAAACAGCTGGGTTGGGGCCAACAATGAGCTGAAGTCGTTTTTATCGTGTCGTCCAGGACTGGGGTGTGGGCTTCGCCATGTACCTTTACGTCTCTGGTGAGTCGGTGACCCCCGCTGTGCTCTATGCGCTACATAGCGACCTTTTCTCTACAGGCGATGTGGTTACTTGGTTAATTTTTTTTCACCTGGATTCGCTCGTGGATTTGGAACGATGGTTAGAGGTAGGGCCCATTGTTGCCGGGGTGCGCCTCTCCCCACGCTTGTTGCTGAACTATCTTGTCGCCAATGCGTTGACGTACCCGTTATATGCAACGCAGCTAGCATTCTGCGCAGCAACGTTCCCACTGCTGCGTGGCGCCATTTCCCCTCTGAGTGACCCTCTGCATACACGTCGTGCGAGCGGCAAGCGGAGTCGTGGTGTGCCCAAGGCACCTTCAGTGGAAACCAAAACTGAAGGACGTTTGGCACGATCGTGTGGGGGGCATTGGGGTGCTGTGGAAAAGAAATTAATTAGCGTTCATAAATAGAACTAAAGGATGGCGTCTTTGGAGGTTACTTTTATGCGTGATTTCTTCTTGTTCTGTCTTGGTGCTTTTGCATTACATTTGTCTTCATGGTATTGCTACTCTGTTCGTGTTGCGCGCTGTGTGTCACTGCCACTCATCCTGTGTTTCTTTCTTCTCTCATCAGGGAGAAGGAGAGGTGGGGGAGGGGAGGTGATGCAGCAGGGTGCGTCGCCATGTGGCGTATCTGATTTCCCAGACGTGTTTTGCTCGAATGCGCTATGTCCTTACCGTCAAGTAATTGGGCGGGAACGGTACACTTCCATGCAGTTGACGGCAGCCAATCGTCTTTTGGAAGAGGGACAGCACTATCTCATCTTAAAAGGTGAGCGACTAGAGGCGGAGGTAAAGGCCAAGAACGAACAGCTGCAGCAGTTAGACGCCCTTGCAAAGAGGGAGGCGGCACGGCGGGCGGAGCTAGAGGAGGAGCTTGTTGAACTTCGGCGGGCAGTCCATGCGCGGTGCTCTGCCGTTTATTCCAACACTGTGCTGCAGGAGACGGAGGTAGCCCGCGTACAGCAGGAGAGGAAACTGCTCGTGGAGCAGGTGCTGCAGCTGCAGTCAGCCCTGAACGGCATGGTGCGACTGAACGAGGCACTGCAATATGCATTACGTTCAAATGAAGTGAAGGTGTCAACTGTGGTGTCTCGTTTCCAGAAGCCGTCTACGGGTGCGCCACGTTGCCAGAGTCAGTCTGTTTCATCGCTGATATCGTCATCATCGTCGTCAGCGACACACACCGTTGTTTCTCCTCCTTCCCAAGTAGAGATGCCAGTGGAACCGGAAGAGGACTCGGACGAGGTGAAGAAGAGCAATAACACACCTATTGGAGACAGCAAAGGTGATGATAAGCATGTTTCTTCCATGGAAGACAAAAAACGTCAGGATTGCCATTTAGCCATAGCGTCAATGCGGAGTGCTGTCTCGGAACTGGAGTCCTTGCGGATCTTTTTGAATTCCCTTCGGGCAGAGACCTCGAGGTGAGAGGTTGTTTCCTGCCGTTTTTTATGTAATTCTCTCTGGTTTTTGGGTTTTTTACTTTGGATAACGATGCAACTGTGGCTGTTTCTCCCAGCTTGTACGTTTTAATTTTTGTCTCTGTTCCCATTTCCTGCGTGGTGGCGATACTGTTGGCAGTGGATGTGGCTGAGTGTTCTTTTTTTTTTTGTGTATGTTTGTTTGTTCGCCTTTTACTTAATGCTGCAATCTTGTTTGAATTTGCTGCGATGGGGAAAAGGTGACTGTGGACTTCCTTTCACCTGCATTGATAAATGCATACTTTTTTTTGTTGTTGTTGTTCATAGTAACTAATTGCACTGACTGCGCTGGCATCAGTAACGTCACACGTCCATCACGCTCGAGTAAGCTTTATCTCTCTTTTTTTTTGCGTCGGAGCCGCATTGGTCTCAGATTAACTTTTTTTTTTTTTTTTTTTTTGGGGGGGGGGGGTGTTACTGCTAATCGCAACAAAAGGAGGGATCAACGTGCATCCCGCACTCGCGCTGTGTGCCAGTTAGTTTCTCTGGTGTCAATTTATTTGTTACGAAACCGGCATGCCTGCAAACATTGTGCCTGGCCTTGTGCCCTATCTTGGATTTATGATGAAGGACGTGGGGGCTCGGCTTGCGATCATGGCGCATTACCTGCAGACAAACCGTCACATGTACCCTGTCATGTATCACCAGAACGTCCGCGCCTACCGTGGGATGCTTCCATGGACGCAGGGCTGTGCCTTCATTGCGCCGCGCGCCTTTGTTAGTGGAAACGTTGTTCTTGGCCATGACACGTGCATTTTCTAGAATGTCGTTATTCGTAACTACCATGTGCGGGAGTAAACGGCCTTGGGTGATCACACCATTGCAATGGACCGTGCCTCCTTCTTAGCTCAAGTACGCGTCGGAAACGGCGTTTATGTTGGCGTTGGCACCACACTGGAGTGCTGCAACATTGGAGACGGAGTGTATCTTGGACCGGGTGTGTCGGTTGCACTTGGCGCGGTTGTTGAAAATGGCGCCACTGTTGCGGCGGGATCACACGTGCCGAAGGACACACGTATCCACGCCTGGGAATTGTGGCCGGGAAACCCGGCCCAGAAGATAGCGGAGGTTCGCCAAGAACAGGCGAGCGAGGTGGCACACATTGTACACGAACAGGTGAAAGTGGCTAAGGAGCACGTTCGGGCGATACACGACCATATGCACCACACAGAGTAGTCGGGTGTGGAGTGGCTGCGTACGGCCATTGCAGAAATGGAGAAGCAGCAGCAGCAGGTAACACTCAAACTGCCTGTTTGACATCCCATTGGAGGCAAAGCGCTTCCTTGAACCCCGTGTACACATGCGCCGCCCAGAGATGCACATGTGCATGTCGTATCCTGTAAATCGTGTTGCGCCATGGATGCCAAAGGTGTCGGATCAGACGGCTAATGCGTAAGTATTGCAAGCCATGAAGATCAGTTTGTCGAATCGAGTCTAATTAGTTTTTACATATGTGTGCAGAGGTGGCTGAGCAAATTAGGAGTATTCTCTTGAGGCGAGTGAGGGAATCTGACAAGGGATGCGCATGAGTAGAGAGAGGTGTCTAAGGGGGCTAGAGGAGGGATTTGTAGATGACAAAGCAACCTGCTGTATTATATATATAATCTGTGTGTGTGTGTGTGTATGCTTTGTGCCGAACTTCGGGGGCGTGAGAGGGAGAGAGGGAGTAGAGGGGGGAGCAAAGTCAATGGGATCGAGTTGTGCATTATTATATTAGCTTGTGGAAAATTGCATAGTAGTTTTATGGGAGTTGTTCATCTCGCGTTGCGTGAGTGTCGCCCTCAGTATTGTTTTCTACCATATGCATAGAAGAAGCGCAACCATCCCTTGCAGCGTCCTGGCGTATTGTTGCCGTGCTCTGTAGTTGTTGTTTCCCTTTTGCGCTCTGCGGGAACAGTAGAAAGCTGTCAAGACCAAATAGTGCAGCAGCACAGCGAAGGAAAAACAATAGTAATAAAATCAAAACAAAAAAGAAGAATAGTAACAACAACAAAAAAAAAAAGACACCTTTTTAGTTGTAGTGGTGGTTGTTTTGTTTGCTTGTTTTTTGCTTTCCGTGCTCGTTACCCCCGGTGTGTGTAATCGTACGGCAGACAGCAACATACAAGCAGCCGAAGGAGTATCCCACGAAAAGGCTGCCGCGGCGCACGAATCCCCTTTGCATCACCAACGAAGCGGAAGGGATGGTTACCGAAATTACGGTTCTGACATTCAACCTATGGGGGATATTTAACTCCGAACACCGCGCTGCCCGCATGGAACAGTTCGCCACAAAAATTGCCCATTACGACGTCATTTTGCTTCAGGAACAGTTTTCCGAGAAGGATTTTGAGTTTATTCGTAGCCGGCTGCCCAGTGAGGTGCGAGATACGCGATTCTTTCGGCGCTTCCCCAGTGCCTTTTACGGCTCCGGTGTGGCTGTTATCTCTCGTTTCTTTATTAAATCTGCACTTTTTTTTACGTTTCCCTTGCAAGGATACCCTGAGCGCGTTCTCCATGGTGACTACTACGCTAACAAGGGGGCTTCCCTTGTACGCCTCAGTATCCCATGCAGCATGGGGACTGGTGCGAGCTCAAATCCGCCTTGCGACGAAGTTTCGTTGTACTGCACACACCTTGTTGCGGCCTACGAAAAAACTGCCCGCCTGTTGAATTGGCGTGATGAGCTCTACTTATCGGTTCGTTTGAGTCAAGCCATCTCGCTTGCAGGGTTCATCTCTGAAACCTCACATCCCACAAATCGTGTTATAATTGGAGGTGATTTTAATGCCACGCAGCGCTCTCTGGAGTTGCAAACGATGCTCATTTTATTGCGTCAGCGCGGTTTCAAGATTCTTTCCGTACTTCCACCGTCCATCGTTCACCGCCCGGAAATGTCTGAGCTGGAACGAAAAATCAACACTGAGACACTGACGTTTTCGGATGCCAATGTGTTTAACACTACAAAGGAAGGGTGGTTTGTACAAGGAGGTGATGTGCCGTGTCAGATTGATCATATCTTCTACACAGCGAATACACTTCGCCTCTCTAACTACAAAGACTGTCCAGACGCGCCCGCAGACTACTCTTTTCAAATGCCAATCGAAGGTGTGGAGAAACCTGTCGGTGTGGTTGTCTTTACAGACAACAAGGAGGTTCGACTCCCACCAAGGACAGGCATTTGGGTAAAGGCCTGCAACGGATTGGCTGCAGTGGGCAATGCGATTCGGTGTGGACCGCTTGTGACCGTTGCGAGGAGCCTGGCACATGGCAATGGGGTCAATAACTCGGAACCACAGTTCTGCCCAATATCAGACCACTACGGCGTCGCTGCAAGGTTTAAATTGGAGGAAGAGGAGGGAGTGACGATAGCTGAACACAATCCAGCCTCAAAGGGGGGGGAGACGGCGGTAAAATTAACCGAAGCAGAAATTGAAGTGTTGCGTGAGGCAGCTGGTTTTCTTGATGACTCTGTGAAACGGTTGCTCTACGAGAGTAGGCTGTGCGTATGGTTTTCTGCTACTATGGCAGTCCTTGTGGTGGGGCATCTTCTTTACATGGAGCTTCAGGCCCAACAGCAGGAAAACCACACACGCCTTGTCCTGCAGGAGTTGTTTGCCTTTGGCCGTCTCCGAGGAAGCGCCATGAATCTGGAGGAGTCGTTGTCGGGCGCGGCTTTCAGTAACTTGAGGCGGTGGCTGCGTGCAGTAGCTTCTGGCAAATCCGACAATTACCCCGCGGAAACAGAAGCAAAGCCTCAATCGGTAGCATCGGTTAATGTTGCCATAGATTACACCGATATGGCTTCGCGGCTTCATGCCAGGGGTATTTCGAGTGTGTTCTCACCTCTTTTTATCATTTCTGGCAGCCTTCTCAGCGCCGCATCTCTCGCCACGGCGTTGCTGCAGCGGAAGGCCTACGCGAAAGTTTTGGCGGAGCAAGTTGTTATGCTGACACATGATTTTTCAGAGTAAAACCAAATAGGCAAAATAACGGGACAATGAGTATTATAAAGGAACAATTTATTGCTTTGATGGGCGAGAGTTATAGATGTACATAACATACATAGATATTATCTTTGATGCTGTTGTGTTGCGTTTCTCCCCAGTGTGTGGGTCCGTATTGTATTTGTTTGGGTTAATTATTTTGTTTTTGTTGGATTTTTCACTTGTGTTTTGTTTTATACATGTCTTTTCAAATTTATTTGACGGCTCGCGTGGTGTCTGGTTATTCTCACATAATGGGACAGTTAACAAGGAACCACCTATTCACACACACACACACACACACACCTCGCTAATGAGAGGCGCGACGGTGGAGGAGGCAGATGCATGATATATATATATATACGCATATGTTTCTCCGACACACAGCACGAACACTGTGATGCACTATGCGTATCCCACCGTGGCCGAGAAACAGGAAGTAAAAAGGCGGTGCAGAGTAGCGCAACAGGATTGTACAAATAAAAATAAAACGAGAATTGATGTCGTTTGTGGTCTTTTTCCCATTCCGGTTTGTAATGGATCTCGTCCTGTTTTTTTCTCCACCACCCTGCCAGTGCTTGTCCCTACAGCTGGTGGGCATTGCGGTGGTGGGTGGCAAAGTCCGCTTTATTTTCCTATTGATTATAGTATTATTATTATGTGGGCACTTTTTTTTTCTTGCTAAAGGCGAAAATAAAGAGAAGGAAGAAACGGTGTCCTTTTTTTTCCTCTCTCCTTCAGTGTGGTGGTGGTCGTGACCGTAGTGTTGTGGGGCGCTGGTTATGCCTAAGCGGTCGCGATCGGTGCTGCACGCGTACCTTCTCCCTCCCTCGAAATGTCTCCATGACGACAAGGGAAAAAAATGCCATGCATCACTTGCTTCGAAAGCCACGGTTCTTGTAGCGCCTGTGACTGACGCGGCAGACAACGAGGTTGCGCTCCACGATTGTGACAGCGGGCCTAGTGCAGCTGCATTTGTTGTGTCTGATGCAACTAACCATGTTCCACGTAAGTTATCCGAAGGTTGGCGAATGGACGTCGACGAAGGTGTCTTGCTTGATGAACCTTTTATCCCAGAAGCAGATCGGCTTGTCGGGCTACCGCCATCGTGTCGCGCTGTACAGGGAGAACCGAATTGGCTAGAACGCGCATTGATGCTGGCGCGCTGCCCAAGCCGGTGCAGGAATGGATTTTATATGAATGGTGACAGTGAGCGCTTCTTCTGCCTGGTGCCGCCTGAGCCAACCTGTTTGCATCCTGCAGGCACGACACAGGAGGAACAGTGCCACGCTGCCGCCGTTGCAAGCATTGCTGCTGCCTTCTACGCCGCACCGCGTCCAGATGATTCCAGTTTTTTTTTCAATGCTCCCAAGGCTTCCCGGGCGCATTAAGTGCTGAACGGAGAGAGAAGCAAGATCCAAAACTTTGAACAGGCAAAACAGAGTGCACGAATGCCTTCACCGAAGGGGAAAAATAAAAATCTTTTGAATTTGTTGGGGAGAGGGAGTGGGAAGGAAAAAAAATAAATGTCGGGGGTTTGTTCTAGCTTCTTACATCAGTTGTATTTGCCTCTCGGTCTCTCCGCACGCGCGTGTGGTAGTGATGAGGACAGCAAGGGGTGTCAGCTTTGCTTCTCTCCTGAGGAATGGCAGGCAGAAGAGTCGTATATGTTTGATTGCATGTTTCCAGCGGAGGCAGTAACCTCCTTTCAAGATACCACTTTATTCACCTCATACAAGTTTGTCGTACTCGCTCCGCATTCATCCTCGTTTGCGGATTTCAAGCCTTGTCTGTTTTGGCGAACAAATACGAGAAGGGGAAAGGAAAAGGAAAAGAATGCATGTGTGCATTGGACACATTCTCTTTCCTCCCACGGCGTCGACTTCGCATTTATCTCGACTAAGCGGGGATGGTGATGATGTTAGTGATGTTGCGACGAGCAACCTTAAGCGCTTTAAGGGCGAGAGCTGGACAGCTGCCGTGAACGAAGCGAGGGACGTTGCGCCCTGTCGAATCTCCGCCGATTCCATCGCAGCAGCCGTACGGCGGGCGTTGGAGCAGCAATTGAAGCAGCAGACGACAATCAATGACATACCAGACCCTGACGTCTATGTGCATGCATTTGGCAAAGGTGCTTCCTTCTGCTTTGTACCGGGCATTCTTACCCAGTCACTCACAGCGTCGGCATTCACCACCATAACATCTCTAGAGGAAGTAACGGTGACCGACATGGAGACGGCGGAGAGACTTCCTCGAATCACTGAAGTCTCGTTGGTTTTGAAGCACGGAGAGGTTTGGAGTCGTCTGCCAGTCTACTGGGAGGAGCGGCAGGTAGTTGCGACCAACACCACCGCGACAGCAATGGCGACGTCACAAATGGCAGTGAATGGTTGTGCTTTCTCTGCCTCTGGTGACGCATCACATGGGATGGAAACGCTGATGGGGAAACGCATACTCGTTGTGGGTGCGGGAGGTATCGGCTGCGAGTTACTAAAAGTTCTTGTCTTGTGCGGATTTCGCAATTTGGATGTCATTGACCTTGACACGATTGATGCCACAAACTTGAACCGTCAATTTTTGTTTCAAAAGGAGGATGTTGGCGCCTCCAAAGCGGATACCGCATGCAAGGTGTTATTGAATTGGTTTGCATCGACCTCGCCAGAGCGGAGGGCGCTGAGCATCCTTGCCCATCACGCGGATATCAAGAGTGAGGCATATGATGACGCCTTCTTTCGCCAATTTGCCCTTGTGTTGAATGCTCTTGATAACGTCTCGGCGCGTCAGCATGTGAATCGCATGTGCATGCGCACAGGCGTCCCTCTTATAGAGAGCGGCACGATGGGGTACAATGGGCAGGTGCAACCCATTGTGCGCGGCCTGTATGAGTGCTATGACTGCCACCCGAAAGCGGCAACCCAACAGACGGTGGCAGTTTGCACCATTCATGCACGGCCCACGACCATGGTGCACTGCGTGCACTACGCAAAAGAGTTGTACGAACGCCTCTTTGGTGACGAAAAGCGGGAAGAGAAGGATGAGTTTGCCTTTGTTGATGCTATTCTCATGCAACAGGAGGAATCGCGAACACAGATGAACTCCCGTGATGGTGTTGCTGGCATTTTTGGCATGGCCGCTGCTCTGGCACGGTGTGTGTTTCACGACAAAATTCATGAGCTGCTCAGCATGAAGTCTGTGTGGGCGACGCAGCCGCCGGTGCCAATTCCGAAGGATATCATTCAACGGAGCACCGAGCAGGTGACGGTGGATGCCATCAAAGGGAATGCAGTCAACATTTCACGGGATACTCCGTTGTCCGTTGAGGAGACGGTATCTCTCTTTATTGACGCATTTACACGTTGTGCGCGATGTGGCACTCGGGGTGCTTTTCGTAAAGAGGATGATAACACGGTTGATTTTGTGGCAGCAGTGGCAAACTTGCGTGCCACTGTTTTTCATATCTTTCCCCTCCAGTCCGTGGAGGAGATCCGCAGTATTGCGGGCGCCATTGTACCAGCCATTGCGACAACGAACGCCATTGTGGCAGCTGTGGTGGTGCAGCAGGCGCTTTGTGTGCTTGGTATGAATGAAAGTGCATCCTCCTTTGCGGTGCCACAGATGGTGTACGTGCGACGCATGCCACAGGTGCGACGCCGTCCTTTCCCAGAGGTCTGCGGTTGTAACGTTTTTCTCATCAACAATTCCAATAATCAAAGGAACACAAGTGGCGACAATATTCATAGAGAGGGTGCGAGGAAAAAACGGTGGATAACGGACCTGTTTCTCGTTCACAGTACGCCGCCTAACCCCCCAAGCAGGACGTGTCTCATCTGCCGTGAGCGCTACCCAACTGTTCGGGTTTTTTTGGACGCCACTCGTACAACGCTTGGGCAGTTTGTCTGTAATGTACTGCGGGAGCGTCTGTCGATGACGGCGGCATCTGTCTTCTGCGGTGCGAAAGTATTATACGAAGAGGGTGAGTACGAGGCGCTGGCAATGACACCACTCGCAGAGCTGATGACCGCGGACAACAAACTGCTGGAACTCTTTATCGACAGCATCGACCATGAGGTGGAGTGGCGGCTCATGGTGAACCACCGTGCTACGATGCAGGAGTGTGATGCAGTGGAACTGGAGGGAGTTGATGCGGCAATTCAGCTAGAGCGAACGCTTGCTGCGGAGTCCAAAATTGCCGTTGCTGCTGAGGATGCTGATAATGGTCGACTTCTTCCTTCCGGTACAACTGGCGCTCTTGAGACGGATGACGACGGCGTTGCCGCCTCTGCTTCCGTAAACAAAATGGCTACAGCTGCGGAGAATGGGGCTGCGGTGGTTGTGGTGCCGTCGGACTCCGACGAGGAGGGTGTAGATGTTGTGGAGGTTGATTGAGCAGAAGCATCTGCAGAGAAGTGGCAGTAAATCATGCTGCCGATTGCATGTGTTCCATGTCGATACGAACTCTATTGCTCCTTATTTCTTTGTTTGTTTGCGTGTGCATTGTTTTTTTTTTTTTTCAGTGGACGTGTTTGTGTGCCGTCGAACGATTGTAGGGGACAAATGTGTGTGTATTTGAGGGTGGGTGGGGGGCAATCACGTCATGCCCACGCTGCAATGCAAGAAATTTGAGGTTGAAGTCTGCTTCACGAGCAAACATACATACACACGCGCAACAATGATGGAAGGAAAAGAATGGACAACGAATAACAGTTCCATGATCCGAAAGAATACATAAACAGTGGTAATGAGGATGGACTCCATGGTAGCCAGTCATGTCGTTTTTGTGCTTGGTTTGCTTGCTGTTTTAGCGCCTTCACCATGATTGTTCCTTTTGGGCGTGAAGGACTTGTCGGCGTTTTTACACATCACTGCTGCTGTTGCTTTGCCTTTTTTTATTTTTTTATTTGGTATTATCGGGCACACCCATTTCCACATGCTCTAGCCATTCGCTCTGCAAGCGGGAATTGTTGTGTCTTTATCAGTTCAGCAGGGAGTTTCCTGCTTCTGCTTTTTTTGTTTAGCTTTTTTTTAGTTCTTACGTTGCGTGTGTGGGGGGGGAGTCGGTAGAGACTGGGCGTTGAGGATGGTAGTGATGTCTCGTTTGTATCGTCGTTCATTTAGTCGTTGCATCGGTTACGCCGTGGGAGGCACCACTGTTGCGACAGCCTTAGTGCTGGCACCGCCGCTGGACGCTGTTCCCGAACCACTTTTGCCTGCACGCGTGTTGTGCGAAGGCGTTGGGCGTGTGTGCCGTTGTGTCTATGTTGCTGGGCAAATCTTCATAGATTATCAGTGGAACCTGCACGGCGAAGATTCACAAGAGTTGTGGAATGCGGCCCACCTCCGCAACGCCTCTCGTCTAGTGACGCTCGCCAAAACGAACGGTGGACTGTACGTCAAGGCCGGCCAAGTATTTGCGAACATGAGTCATATCTTGCCGCGTCAATACTGCACCACCATGGCAGTGCTGCAGGATGCGGTCACCTCACGTCCCTTCTCAGAGGTGGTGACAACGCTTGAGTATGAGCTACGGCGTCCTGTCGAGGAGGTCTTTTCGGAGATTGACCCAACTCCCATTGCTGCTGCGTCCCTCGCGCAAGTTCACCGTGGGAGACTTAGGAAGGAGCAGGTGGAGGTGGCAGTTAAGGTGCAGTACTTGGACATTGCTCACCGCTTCCGTGGGGATATGCGGACGATTCAGCTGATGCTGGGCATTGCGGGTTTTTTCTTTCGCGGTTACGACCTCTCGGAGATTCTGTCCAGGCTAAACAGCACCGTAGCGAACGAACTGGACTTTACGCTAGAGGCCGATAACTGCAAACGGGCGGGGCGGGAGTTGAGAGCGGGGGGATTCGGCAGTCGTGTCGTCACGGTGGACGTCTTGCCTGACTACACAAAGAGGCGCGTGCTTACCACACGACTGGTGCCAAACGCCGTAAAGGTCTCAGATCTTCGTGGCATTGAGGCACTTGGCATTAAGCCGCGAACTGTCGCTGCCTGGTTTTACGATGCGCTCGCGTACCAGCTCTTCATCACGGGATTTGTACACGGCGACCCACACGCGGGGAATGTGCTTGTGCATCGCCTTCCCAATGGACAACCACAGGTGGTATTGCTAGACTTTGGTCTCTGTACGGAGTTGTCGGATGACTTGCGTGCAGAATTGGCGTACATCTGGACCGCCGCCGTCACACATGACATTCCTTCCCTACAGAAAGTTGCACAACGGTTTGGGTGTAAGGATTACGCACTCTTTGCATCGTGTTTCTTGCAGCATCCGTATGAGTTATTTAACGCAGAGTCACGTGTGACAACAAAGGCAACGCAGGAGATGATGCGAGATCAGGTACGGCACAAAATGCACGAGGTGAATGACATCGTATCACATCTCCCTAAGGAGTACGCATTAGTGTTACGAAACATCATGGCTGCCAAGGCGATTAACAGGGAGCTTCGTGAGCCTGTTAACCGTCCACTGCGTATGCTACGATATTCGGTTGTTGCCACACATGGGGCAAGGTCCCGATGGCAGGTGTGTCGTATGCTTTTGCGAGCCTGGTGTTCGGAGATGTTCTCATCACTGCTGCTTATGTACGCCAAATGGCGTCATCCCGAGTTGATGCAGATGCTGGATGAATCTCTGGAATTGGAGCTCAGTGGTTAGAAATGAGGCGACTATGTGTATGTGAGTGCGGGTGAGGGTGAGAGTGGGGGAGAGAGGTGGAAGAAGGAATTTTTTGGAGTGAGGGAGGGGAGGATCCAATGAAAGACAAGGATGCCTTGCTGGCTTGCCATGTCTATGTGGGCATGCGTTTGTGTCTGTGTCTCTTTCCTTCTGTGCATACGTGCGTGTGTGCATGAATCAGGTGAAGCAGCGTAGTGAATCTCCACATCAAAAGTGATGTAGGAGCTGCTATGTATTTTTTAAGTGCACTGCTTCTATCAATGTTATATTATTTGCTCTCTGGCGCATTTTTTTTTGTATTGGCAATTGCCTCGTCTTTCTCCATCAACTTTGA